AGAAAAATTGGGGACCGGCTGTGAATCCCCCTCCAGTGCGCTCCTAAATAAACAACACCTGTCAACTTATTTAATCAATGGTCAATAATGAGTAGTTCCCTTTGCTATTTCTCTAACTATAGTTAAGAAGCAAAACAGAACTCCAGCAAATCAATAACCCTAACTGGTAAATCCATGGACATGAAAATCAAGACCCAATAGAGCAGAAACCAATTGATTTCTCTAATGCAAAAAGATGAAAGAAACAGACAGAATCATCGAATTTGAGTCTCACAAAAAGAAGAAGACGAGCACTCGTCTTTGAAGTGATAATTTGAAGCAGTGTTCCAGCAAAACAATAAAATGCTCTCTTGTTGTTTATTATTGTATCTTTGTTAGATACCTACCTTCTTTGATTAAAAAAATATAATAATCTAAAACAACAAAGAAGATCAAATTAAGATACTACTCCAGTTCAAGTTTTAATTAATATTTTGACTCCGATTTAAGTTTTACAACATCACATAGTTGCAAGTTGTAAAATAACTTAAATCCTTGTATGGGTTTCAAGTTTCGGCTTCTGCTTCTGCTTCTTCATAAACGGGGACTGTTGATTTTTGATAATGGGGAAAATTTCTGGCGAACAGAGAGGGAAATGTTTTTGAACAATTGATTTTATTTTAGGTCTATCTTGATTATTGATTTGCTGGAGTTCTTAACTATAGTTAGAGAAATAGCAAAGGGAACTACTCACTATTGACCATTGATTAAATAAGTTGATTTAGGAGGGGATTCACACTGCAGGGTCCGAAAAAATGGTGGGAGAAGTTTGGGGCATAAGTCGACACGTGTGTGGGGATTTGAGACCATAATCTCCTGAAAATTGAAATGGGCCAACTCCAAAGAAAATGGTGGGAGAACTTTGGGGCATAAGTCGACACGTGTGTGGGGATTTGAGACCATAATCCCCTGAAATGGGCCAACGCCAAAGAAAAAGTTCATCAGCTTCCAAATTTCTTCAGCGATAATATCATCAGATCCTATACTTTTTACCTATCTACTCTACTTGTTTCCTCATGGAATATTATTTATTATTATTATGTTATGTACATACATACATACATACGAGGGCTGGGCTAACATATTCAACTTTTTCTATCACTTTCAAAATGTATCATCTCATCTCATATTTCAGGTAATATTTCTTGGTAAATCTTATTAGTTCTAACTTTATTACAAAAGCTGATTAGGAAGTCCAATTTCCCTCACACTAAAGGCTGATGCGTGATCAATTTATATTAGAATCTAAGAATTGAGATGGAACATGTTTTGATATTTTATGAGTAGCTTTAAAGTTTGATGACAGACCGCATGATTTTAAAATACATCACTAATTTAGAAGGTCTGCTTACTTATATATCAAACATTCATTTTGCTGATGTGAGACTTTTTATCTATGACCAACTGGGAACTAGTAAAAGTTCTCCTTCGATTGTTTATTTACTTTTGATTATGGAAACTAATGATCCGACAGCTTTTAAATTGTGGCTGCATCTTGTTTAAGTATTTCATTAATTTCCAGTAAAACACTGAGCGGAAGAAGTAACTTTCACAACTTTGTACTGATCCACTTGTTTCCTGTATTAATTGTTTTGACAAACTGAATTTTATTTTAATATATTTCTACAGCTACCGCGGCCCCTGCTTCTTCAGGTGGAACTCCAGGTTAAGCATTTAGTATTTTATTTTTTCTTCAAATCCATTAGTTAGACGTTAGTATATTGTATCAATAACCAACTAACCAAAAGTATCATTAAGCCATAATAAAACAAATAAACCCTCAAGGGTTGGATGAGTGGTTTCCCACGTGGGAGACCCGGGATCAATTCTCCTCACTGACAACCTTCTCAGTAGCCACTTTCACAGGGTCAATTGCTCTTTGCCGTCAAATGGAAAGTAGTCACAGAGAATAGCGGCTGCGAATTTCTCTTATGGTTCAAAAATTATTATAATAAACCTATTTTGATACTATTATAAGTAGGGCCTGAAAAGAATAAAATATATACAAATCTTATTCTTATCTTATATGAGACAAAATAAATTGTTTTCAATAAATTATCTGTAAACCAAAAGTACGGAAGTGATGGGTGTACAATTTTAGAAATTTGTTTGCAGAGTCTTTGAGGTACTCAATGCAAATGCATTGGGTAATTAATTTCATGTGAAACTCACCCAATACTTGCAGCCTTCACATGCCATGCACAAATTATAGCATGTGCAAAAATAAGATCAAACTTCCATATTTTGATCCCTTTCTCATTTCTGGTGACTGTGTTCTGTTAATTTGAAGTAACGTTCATAGAGTAATATGTAGATGGACCACTTCATTTTTTTCTGATATAGGATAGATACCTCTGCCTAATGACATATGACAGTGATGTATGCAGAATTTTTACATAATACAAATTCAGTTAAAACTCTAAACTTCAGAACTCATAACTCATAAAATTTAAATTATGTATGTGTTATCTCTGAATATACCAAATAAAAGAAGTAATTACTAGCTAGTGCTAGTCACAGTTGAAGTCATATGTTCCAATCTCAATAGAGGCAGACACTTTAAATAAACCAACGTAAATTGAATTTAGATATGTCCCCTAAAACAAACAAAAAAAACCCAAGTTTGTAAGAAAGATTCAGTGTAACTACTATGGATTATGATGGGAATGCCAAATGCAACGAACTAAGATTTTACTTGGGGATCATTTGGTTCGAAGACAACTAATAAGGAGATTATTAGTACTATATGTTGGATTAATTATGCTAGCATTATTTTTTATCGACTGGTGCACTAAAAATAGCTAGCATGCATTGTGTTATCAAAAATAACAATGAATAAGGTGTCTGAGTATTGGTATTGTTAATAACATGCATGGTTTATTATGTATAAAAATAGTACTCCATTAATTGTAGGTAAGCAAGATTATATTAATTAGAACCAAACATTCTTGTTAATACATGCACCCTATGAATTAGGATGCTTAATGAGGAGTTATTAGGTGCTGAAACATGTCTTATTTTGAAGGAGACAGGATTTTGGAAATAGTTAAGTGGAACCAGTTAGGCCTTTTCCCTTTCTAGGCAATCTATTTCTTCAAAATAACTTTCCTTTATTGTCAAAAAGAAACCTCAACAGACAATGACAGAAATATAGAGGGTGTTTACGTACGTACAGGGGCGGCTCAAACCCGTTGGTGGCCTAAGGCCAAAATCAAACTAGAGGCCTTAAAAAAAAAATTATAAATATTTTTATTTTAAATCTATTTTTATAGCTTTTTGAGATGCAAAGTTGTTAATAATTTTTGTGTAGTCAATCTCTTCTAATAATTCTTCTTCAATCGATAATATAGCCAAACCACTTAATCTTTCTTGAGACATTGTTGATCTTAAATT